CTGCAAAAGCGGCAACCGTCGCGGTCTGGAAGTTCCCTTAGCAATAGTAATCATTGCTTTAACTCTTGTGTATCGTTGTCTTTCGTTTTGTGAGGTTTGTGAAGCAAATACTTCTAGTCATAACCTCGTCAGTTTCCATTTGTTGTTCAGAAAGTTCGCATATTCTTTCGGATGAATTTTTTTGAAGTCCGGAGGCAGACGAATTGCCATTAGTGGCATACGTTCTTCTATTCTGCCATTGTAGGAGTATTGAACCAACCCAATCCGATTACCATGATCACCCATTATGACGCTTACTCCTCTATCCAGTGCTCCTGTAAAAATTGACAAACGTACATGCAATTTATAATTCGCTACCTGTGAAGTAGAGGTTTTCGAGACTAGATGAAACTTGCTCATCCAATACTTCGAGCACAAAACCTTCTTCATGGGATAAGCTAAAATATTCTACAGCAAGAGGTCGCATCTTCAATGCTAATAGTACTCACGTCGACATGAATGTGAAACCGAAGTGGCATTCATCTTTGTACTTATTTGAAAATCGTCGCCAAAGATCTACGTATCTGCGCTGGACCTGATTGCCATCCTTGCACTGTGTATATAGCCAATTCTGAAACATTTCCGTGAAGACTTTGTATATTCGTTACCGAAATGTTGGTTCTGCTAGAAATTCGCTCGTACAACCTAGTCCAGAAAATGAACTGGCTACTTCAGCCTTGAAAACATTGCGACAGAAGTTAAACGAGCATTTCCCAAGGTACCACTTAACAGCCGGGCGAAGCCGGGTTTGCCAGATAGTGTTACTCTAATACCGTATCAGCCGCAGCCAACACTTACGAAGAAAATCTCTTATAAGTCACTGATAGACAGTCGTAAAAAATGACCTTGTACACAGCCAAGTAGTAAGCGCGATAAAAGTGATCCGCAGGTGGTGATGTGAATCCAGGAAGAAAATCTTTAGGAGGATAGTGAAATAATCCAAACATCTTCTTGGAGATGTCTTCATTGAGCATGGAACGGCATCCAAATTCTGAAAAAAAA